TATTTTATCTATAAATTTGATATAATAATAAAAGTAATATTATTATGCTCAGTTAAATAATATTATTATATCTTAACTATATAATAAGGTAATTAAGTTACATTATTTAATTAAATTTAAAAAATTAACTAAAAAATTGGTTAGGTGTTAATTTTTTCTTTAAATTTGTTGAAATAATTGTGTGCGCTTATGTTTCTATGTATACTTTCCAAATTCACTTAGTATTGAGTAATGCCCACGTGTTCACTGATTAATCATTGATCCACATACATATGTACAAACCATAAATTAAGGGCGCAATTATGACATAACCTCACTTTATAAAAAAAATATTGGTTATTGAGTGTGTAATTGTATGTGAAAGCAAATACTTTTATACTCACTTTGTGGCAGATGCATTTCATGTGAATTGTAATGACATACGTTAGTTAGATAATCACCAAACCAGGGCAGTCAAATTTGAAATACAATACAGTTATAATATTTACAAAGTTGGCGTGACTTGTGAAAACTATTTATTTACTTGTATTTGAACTGCAAATACAATTTTCGATTTACATTTTACGAATTATATCTTACATACATATATTATGTATATAGCCTACGTTATATAATATTTGATTACAATGTGTCTGTTTATAGAGCAAGTGAGATTATGCGACTTTGTAAACAAAATTTTATTGCAAAATTAATATAAGAAATTTCTTCAAACACATAAATTTTACTCATTTAAGCTAGTTAGTTGACTTTTTAAATCTAACTTGAAATATTTCAAGCGCTTTAATCAACTCACCAAACAATTTTCTTTATACCAATCGAACCACTTGTTCATTCACAAGCATATTATAGTTCTTTGTTCTTATTGCTATTATTCATCCGCCGTTTTCTCCACAAATTAATCAGTTTAATTCTACTTTGTTCATTGTAGCATTCCACCGTTGCACTTGTACAGCATCGCTCGACTTGCACAGCTATCAACGCGGCAACGCTGCCCACAGCTGGTTTTATGAGGCCCGTCTGCAACGGCAGCTATTGTCTGTTGAAGCCCAGGGTGAACAATTCGTATTTAAACAAGCGTAAAAGTAGCTCGAAGAAACGGGTGTCCACGGTAGCATCATCAAAACGTGACGAAGAAAGGTGAGTAAACTCCGAAGAAAGCACAGATAAATGAAAATTTTCGTTTTTTTTATTGTGACTTGAATACAAAATTACAAATATCTATTTATTTAATAAGAAAGTTCAGTTATAAATACATATACATACATATATACCACTCATGTATAAAGTATAACAACACTAGTGACAGGCTGTAAATTACAAATATAACCATCAAGTCGTTTCCAAATAATTCTTCACTAAATTCATAAATTTTCAAATTCA